ATCTACAAATGCAAGACCCTAATGATATAAAATCTGCTTGTGCAAGGAGGCATGAGCAAGTGCATCCTCTAAATTCAGTTGGCAAGAAGATATTTCCTGGGAAGAAGTAACACTGTCGTTAATGCAGTTTACAGAAACATAGACCAAATCACTGTCATTTTTGACAGGTCCCTTAAAAAAAAGTGTGTCAAATACTAAAATATAAGAATTTAGCTGACAGGACTAGATTCTTTGCTAAGAACTGTCTACACAAAGAAGGGACACTGGCAATCATGACACTGAGATTTTTAAGGGTTCTTATTCTCATCTGCAGCCTTGGGATGTATACAGATGAAAAGATTTAGTCTCTCCTTCCCAACCATCCTTACATATTCAAACAAGTAACTTCTTTCTAAATTCCTTGTAGAAGGAGGGGGGTAAAAGTCTAGCTGGGAGGAACTTTTGAAAATAGACAGTGTCCCTTCCCCCACTCCATCTTTGGATGCTGATGGAAATGTACTGCGTGCGAAAAAGATAGAAAACTTGAGAACCACTCATTAAGTATCTGAACAGACAAATCAGATACCTTGATGCAGTCTTAGGAGATACAGTAACTCCTACCTCACAAGCTAACCTCCAATAGCCTTTCACTATGCAGAGATGGGATGCTTCTTAGAGTGCGGTTTGAACCCCTGTATCCTGTACCTGAGTTAGGAGTAGCAATTCCTGTTAGGGTATGAATCAGCTGTGTTGTTTTCCAGTGTCACCAAGGCAACATACATGACTGAACCACAACTAATACAGAGATCAGAAAAGTTTTATCAAGGTGAACATCAGCATTAAGATTGATAGAATTAATGACCACTTCATTCTTTTTATCCATGTATTGAAAGAAATGTTACTCTTCTGGAGAAGAAATGTGCTCTGGTACTTCTGAAGTACATCCTATGATAAATTATATTTTACTTCAGCACAGTAAGCATCAGTTTTTAAGCCACAAAAGACATTAGTGTGGATGTTTTCTTTGCTTTCTTTGAATAAGCATCAGGTAGCAAAGGCATAAAGCCTGAAGGGAAAGGACCTAAGAACCTAGTAAGACAGTTAAAAAGGCAAGAGAAACCCTATCTTGTTATGTTATTATTACTAATGCCTTAGATATTTGACTATTAACACTAGTATGAGAGTACTGCAGTCAAAACTGCGGAATTTGGATAGGACTGCAAAAAAGAAAGCAGTTATCCTTAGAAAGTCAAATGTCTCCACCTTCTCGGGGTTACTAATGCTGTTTCCCATGGCTTCTTGGAAAATACCACTGTTTTATCTGGTCTCTTTCCAGGTGCTTTATTGAGAGAGTAAGATGAAGGAAGAGGAAAATATCATAAACAACTTTATTGTGGAAGGACAGCAAATGCTGACCTCAATATGCTTCTGTTCTTTCTACATAACATTCTCATATTTATAATTGTGGAGGAAGAAGGACGGTCAGAAAATGTGGCATTGGTCATTTGCGGATTGTTCTAGCACAATAATTCTCAAATATATTCATCCTCAATCCTTCCCTTTATACTCTAAATCAGTGCTTCTAAAACTATCTGTGGTGAAGGACCAAATTTTAAAAATTCCAATCTACTGCAAACTTTTGTAAATTACAATAGAAATGAGTTACTAGAAAAGTAAATTAAAAAAACCCAAAATATACAAAACATAAACCCCCAAATTTTGTATGATTGATTTCAACAGACACAAAATACTCTGCCGAACTGCTATTAAAGTTTATAAATGCTTATTCTCAACTTCTATACTCACCTTGTGGCAGATGGGTAACAAACTATTCCCAACTACAGTCTGAAAAGGACCATCCTAATCACGCACATATCCACAAACACAGGACACATATACACCCCAGAAGCACACACAAACACATCAAAGTAAAGCTAAATTTCTATCCATTTAAAAAATAATTCAAATTTATATTAAATTATATTACATATTTCTTTAGATCTCACTTCATACAAAAAAAGCCGATGAGAAAACAGCAGTCTCCTACCCCAACTCTGTCTTCCAGTGCCTTCTCAGAGTGGCAGCTATCTAACAATCAAACCTGTCGGAAAAGCTGTTAAGGCCAATCTCCCCTCCCCCCAGTCTGACCTTCCTCCTGGGGCTCTCTTCTTCTCACAGCTGCTGACCTGGGTATTCCCTCTGCCTCCTTCTATGCAGGGGTTCCCTTTGAGAAAGACTGTACTACTGTTTGAAATATTTGCAGCTCCTGCCTTGGGGTCGATTATATCAATATGTGCCCCATGGATGTCAGGCTTGATTATGACTTGTGAGGTTCCATCCTATGGAAGGATTTTACATTTTTGCCTTGTTAAACTCAGAAGTGACCATGTGACTTGTTTGGCCAATGACATGTGGCATTCCAAGGTGGAAGCTTAAGAGATTATCATCTCTTTTCCCTCCACCACAAGACTAGCAATTTCCCAGATAAAGGATGCTCCATCAGGCTGGGTCCCATTATGAAGGTGACAAGGAGCAGAACTACACGATGGACACATTGGGTAAAAAGAAATAAACCTGTACTGTAAGCCATGGAGAGTTCGGTATTGTTTGTTACTGCATCATAGCCTAAGCTGACAGATAACACTCTTGATTCCTAGATCTTCTTTTTTTGGTTTTACCACCTCATTTTGGTAATGCATATCTTCTAGTAGTTTCCTGAGAAAGTGTTCATGACAAGAAAGATCTAATATGTCTGAAAATAATAGAATACTGAATTTGAAATAATTTTCCCACAGAATCACAAAGCATTAAGACATTGTCTTCTAGTTTCCAATGATGCTGTTGAGAAGACCACTGTTGTTTTTATTTCCAGTCCTTTGTATGTACCTTCATCCCCTGCCAGAGGCTTTTAATAGGTTGTGGTCGTGTGCTCTGATATGGGCCTTTTTCAAGAGATTTGAATATCTTTTTCAATCTTAATTCTCATGTTTTTCAAATCTAGGAAAGAATCTTCAATATTTATTCCCCTTAAGATCATCTTTTAAATAAGAATTTAGTTGTATCAAAGTTATACATGCTCAAAGTTTGCAAAGTCAAAGCTCTCTCAATGAATATTTACCCTTCCCCAGAGATAACCACTGTGAATTTTTTTAGCTAATTCTTTGGAATTGACCTCCACGTCTCTACACACGTTTTAATTGTGGTAACTTGGTATTTCTGTTGTAGGCATTACTTACTGATTTTCACTATGGAAATGAGGATTTACTCTCCTCCTTCTTTGCATGCCCACCACATACGTGCTCCTTTCCCTATATATCATAAATTTAATTAGATTAATAATGACTATTTACATTATTGGGACCTTGTATTCTAGTTAGATTTGAGCCATATGATAACTGTGAATACTTTTCCTCTCCTGCCAAACCTTTTGTTTTCCCTGGAGTTAATAATTGTATTGTTCTCTTCGTTTACTTAGTTTCCTAAGTGCATATCACCAATTCAAAATTCTCTACTACTTGTTTAAATCTCTCAATACATCCATACATATCAGACTTTCTGTTTGGTGGTTAGTTGGTTTCTCTCTTTCATGCAGAACAATTTCCTTAAATTCACAGGAGTATCCCCAAACGGAGGTCCTTTCTCCGCATTTCTCAAGATAGAAGGATTGAATATATTTTAGTTAGAGGTTTGTTCGCTGGATTTATAACTTTTCAATATTTGGACAAATGTTCTGTAGGCCTCTCTTGGTACTCTTTTCCCAGGCTCTGCAAATGGGATAAAGCAGGCATGGCCTCTAATTCCTGAACCCTTCTGGATTTCTGTCAGGCAAATTGGCTTCCTTCTCACCGGTCTCTCCTCTGCAGACACTTAGGTACCAGCTTCTCCCACTCTGCCAAGTCAGCTACCCTTCCTCCATCTATCCTGTCTTCTAAGCATGTGCTGAATTCTCTCAACTGCTACTGTCTGCTTTTCTGTTCTTTTTTGTCCTTGAGGGCTTGTATAAGTACCTTATTGCTACTGTAACAAATTGCCACAAACCTACTGTCTTAAAAAGACACAAATTTATTATCTTATAGCTCTGGAGATCTGAAGCCCAAAATCAGTCTCAGTGGGCTAAAATCAAGGTGTTGGCCAGGCTGCATTCCTCGAGGAAACTCTAAGGGAGAATCTGTTTGTCTTTTCTAGTTCCTACAAGATGTCTGCATTTCTTGGCTAGTGATCCCATCCTCTATCATCAAAGCCAGCAGCTGAGCATCTTCCAATTTCTCTCTCTCTGACTCTAACTCTCCTGTCTCCCTCTTTCCTTTATAAGCAGCTTTGTGATTACATTGGGCCCACTCACATAATCCAGGATAATCTTCGCAGCTCAAAATCCTTAACTTAATTACGCCTGCAAAGTCCTCTTTTTCAAGTAAGATAACACATTCATAGGTTCCAGGAACTAATACATGAGTATTTATGAGAGGACCATTATTCTATCTATCATAAGGGTTTATACTTTCCTTCCTCCTTTACTGTGGGGTGCCAGGAATTAGCAAAGCAAAAAGTATGTGTTCAATCACCTTGTTTGATCAGGAGCCCAAGTAGTATGTGTCCTGTTTCCAATTCCTGGGATTCTTCTCATATCTTTTTCTCAAATAGATAATAATAATAGTATAGGAATAATAATAGAAATAAACAAATATCACTAAAGCCCTTAATCCATACATGAGATTAGGACAGGCCCCAGAAATGTTTTCATAAACCCTGAGTGCCACTGTTTGGGAGAGAATTTGGCAGAGTGGAAATGGGGAGAAAATAAATAAAATTGGAAAACAGAACAAAGGAGTGGGGAAAAATTTTTTGAAGGAGGTGCTTATAAGATTATCAAATATGCTTGTCGCTCAGTAATATGGGTGCTAACCAAAGACTAGTAGACAAGAATCAGAGATAGGAACAGAAAGGCAACATCACATGTGAAAAAAAGAAAGTTAAATTTAGAATTGGAAGTTCTAAATTCAAACCCCAATTCTCAAACTTACAGTCTGATCTTGCACAAGTCAATCAGGTATCTTGGCTGTGTAGCTGAAGAAGCTGAAACCCAAAGAAATTGTCTTAATTTAAATTAGCAGACATATATGAAAGACCTCAGAGAGACATCTGCTACATTACAGTTGAACGTTAGTTGAATCTGAAGCAGAAACAGTCACTAACTGAAAACTAGCATTATGGCATAAGAAATGCTAACATAAAAACCCAACAGCTGGAAGGCAGACTGAAAGAAAATTATCTTTCGCATTTCTAAAAAGATGGACTAGTCTGGCCATGAGAAAATTCACCTTAATGCATGGGTATGATTGCAGATATTCTATAGAAATATCACTTTTATTCATTAAAAAAAACATTTTATTGAACTCCTCCAACGTGCCAAACGCCATGCTAGGTATTAAGGATATAGCAGTGAATAAGGCAGATGCAATCTCTGCCCTCACCGAAGTTACAGTCTAGCACAGAACTAGACATTTAAACAAATAATGACAAGTAGTGTGATAGGTACTTTTTAAAAAAATTTTTTCCTCCACATTTGTTACTTCTTTTTTTTTTTTTTTTTGGCCATGCCATGTGGCATGCAGGATCTTAGTTCCCTGACCAGGTATTGAACCCTTGCCCCCTACATTGGGAGCATGGAGTCCTAACCACTGGACTGCCAGGGAAGTGCCAACATTTTTATTTTTTTAATTTATTTTTTTGGCTGCGCTGCACAGCATGTGGGATCTTAGCTCCCCAACCAGCGATCGAACCCTTGCCCCGTGCAGTGGAAGCATGGAGTCTTAACCACTGGACACCCAGGGAAGTCCCAAGTGTGATGGGTGCTTTGACAGAAACAAAAATATGGAATTCAGGCACCTAAATCAGACTAGAGTGTTGGTTTGGGGTAGGGAGTTAGGTAGGGTACTCAGAGTTCATGACACACCCTTCAGAGCTCAGCTAAAGACTAGGAATTAGTGAAGCAAAAATGAAAGGGGGTGGCTAGGCAGAGTGTTTCAAGGAGCCTACTCATTCGCCTAGGAAGAGTGACAAGGTATCGTGGAAGCTTTTTAGCCTAATTCTTGTGTCATGCATGAAAATGGCGATAGAACTGACATGAGAAGAAAGTGCTTGCGTTACAATGATGCTTTCAGAATGACAGACTCACATCGATGGAATTATAATTTGCTTTCTTCTCAAAGCAAATTCCCTCTCCCACTTTTCATTCTACAACCAGACAGTAGAGCACAGTGGCTAAGAGCGCAGGCTCTGGAGCCAGGCTGCCTGTCTGGGTTCACATTCTGACTCTGCTGCCACTTGCTAGCTCTAAGACCTTGGAGACGTTTATCTCATCACCCCTCCACGTTTCAGCTTACTCATCTATAAAATGTTCCTAATGTTAATATTTTCCTCATTGAGTTATTACGGGGATTAAGTTAGTTAATAAATCAAAAGTGTTTAAAACAGTGCCTGGCACAAAGTAAGAGCTCAAAAAATCTTCACTTGTTGCTGCTACCAGTTTTATTTGCCAACCACTGGCCTTTTGTAAATTTCCAGGAGGATAAGAGGCCATCTGACTTTGTTTACATGGCACTGCTTTCAGTCACAAGGAAGACAAGAATGCAGCAGTACTAGTAGCTAACCACCTGGTCCTCAGAATAGAAATAAGAAGCAACCAGAATCTTCCCGATCAGTTCTGACTCTGAGACATGGGAAGATCAGAAAGCTTCAAAGGGGTCTTCATCTCTTTCAAGTTCTATGGAACTGAGACAGAGATGGCAGAGAGCATGGCCATGATGAAATCAGGCCCCACAAGAAGGCAAAACTTTGGTGGACCCACCATGATTCAGGCTGCAATAAAGAAACAATATTTATAGATGCATACAGAGATGATCAAACTGAGAGAGACCTGTTTACACAAACCAAAGCCGGGAGATTAAGTCCAGAATTTCAACTTCGTTCACGCAACAAACATTTGAGTGCCAGCTATGTACAAGACACTGTTCTAGATGTTAAGAATATAGCAGTGAAAAACGAGACAAAAGTACCTGCAAACACAATAAATGAGCTAAGTAGATAACATACCAGAAAGTGACAGGTGCTATGGAGAAAAACTAAGTAGCAAAAGGAGATACGCAGAGCAAAAGATCAAAGAGAGAGGTGGGGTGTAGGGTGAACAGTTTTCATCAGGGTAGTAAGGGAAGGCCTCACAGAAATGAGGACGTTTGAGCAAAGACCTGAGGAGATGAAGAGGACATGGAAACGTCTGGAAAGAGCATCCCGAGCAGAGAGAAGAGCAAATGCAAAGTCCCTGAGGGGAGTGGGTCCAAAGTGTTTGAGGAACAGCAAGATGGTCAACAGGCCTCTGAGCAGAGAAAGGTAGGGTAGGAAGAGCAGAAAGTAAAATCAGAGAGGAAATGGGGTCTTGTAGGCCTAACTGTAAGAATCACAGCTTTTTCTGAGTGAGATAGGGAGCTACTGGATAGCTTTGAACAGAATCATGGTGTGGTCAGCTTTAAAGTTTAAAAGGAACACTCTGGCTGCTGGGCTGAGAAAGGAATGAAGGTTAAGGGTGGCTGATGTAGAATCCTAATCAAAGGTAACAGCGGCTTGGACCAAGGTGGTATCAGTGGAGATTGGAAGAGCGGTCACATATTTTGAAGAGATAACAACAGGATTTGATGACAGATTGGATGTGGGTGTAAAAGAGCTGCTGAGTCGCCCTCAGCAATGGGAATGATGGAGGTGCCATTAACTGAGATAGAGAAGGTTGTAGGCAGAGAAGGTTTCTGAGGGGAGGCGAGATCTGGAGTTTGGTTTTGGGTTTAATAAAATGGAGAGGTCTATTAACTACCCAAGTAGAGATGCGGAGTTTCTTGGATATACAAGGCTGAATCTGAGACTAGGGAGTTGTGAGCATATATATCATATCCAATGCCGTAAGAATGAATGAGACACTGAGGGAGAGAGTATAGTAACAGAAGAGGTCCAAGGACAGAGACCTGGGACACTCCAATATAGAGAGGTCAGTGAGCAAAGGAGATTGAGAACAATGACCAGGAGTGCACGATGAAAATCAGGAGAGTGAAGTGCCCTGTAACACTGAAGAAACAAGTGTAACAAGTGAAGAAAGTGTTACAGGGAGGAAGTTGTGATCAGCTGTGTCAAGTGCTGCTAAGTGAGACCACTGAGAACAGGCCATTGGATTAAGAAATGTGGAGAGCAGTTTTGGTGGAATGCTGAGGGCAAGAGCTAGCTGGAGTGGACTTAACAGAAAATGAGAGAAAAGGAATTGGGACAGTAAATATATAACTCTTTCAGAGATACTTACTGTAAAGAGAGCAAAAAAATGGAACAGTAGCTAGAGGAGAAAGTAGAAATGGAGAGTTTTGTTGTTGCTGTTGTTGAAGATTAATTTTAAGAAGCAACATATTAATTTACATAGGGAACTATAACTGGTAAACAGAACAGAAATAGATGTAACAGATCAGTGCTTTCTCCTCTCTGTTGGAAAACTATTGGGAAAGTACAATTAAAGTCACAGGATTACTTCATGCGTGCTGACAACAGCTCCACCTTGCGCTCTTTCCAATTATGAAGACTCTCAAGCATCCATCTACACTGCAGGGGAAGAACTGCTAAGTAGATCAGATGTTTTAATCACTTGGGCAGGGTACCGCTCCCTTGACCAGTGCTGGAAAAACTCTAACCATTCATTCTTTCTTTCATTCAAGAAACATTACTGAGCACCTATTATATGTCAGTTACTAGGGATGCAAGTTCAACAAAACACAACTTTGCCTTTAGGGGAGCTCATGGTTCAGTAAAGGATGCAGACAAACAAATGAATAGTTCCCATGTAATGTTAAAAGAGGTATGCGTACATATAAGGGACAAAAGTTGAATTAAATAGTTAACTGTTTAGTATGGGGACATTTGGGTCATTCCTTTTTTTTTTTTTTTTTGCTGTTAAAGATAGGGGGGTGTTTGGGATTTCAATTGTTTCCAGGAATTCTTATTGATAACTGTTACATCAAGATTATAGGAAATCTTACCAAATAAGAAGGAAAACTATTATATTCCTGCTCATTACAAAAGCAACCAAGAAAATAAATCTGAACAGTATGAACCACCTGAACACAGGCAAGTTGGGAATTCATTCAACAAACATATATTGAGCACCTATTATATGTCAGGGCATGGTTCCAAGTGTTTGAGATACGTCAGTGAACAAAAGAAAGATAATGCTTTTTAGAACGTGTATTTTAGCAAGGGAGCCAGTCAACAATAAACATAAATAGTAGTAAAACAGGGCTTCCCTGGTGGCTCAGTGGTTAAGAATCCGCCTGCCAATGCAGGGGACACAGGTTCGAGGCCTGGTCCAGGAAGATCCCACATGCCACGGAGCAACTAAGCCTGTGCGCCACAACTACTGAGCCTGCGCTCTAGAGCCCGTGAGCCACAACTACTGAGCCCGTGAGCCACAACTACTGAGCCCACGTGCCACAACTACTGAGCCCACGTGCCACAACTACTGAAGCCTGCACACTTAGAGCCCGTGCTCCACAACAAGAGAAGCCACTGCAATGAGAAGCCTGCGCACCACAACGAAGAGTAGCCCCTGCTCACCACAACTAGAGAAAGCCTGCGTGCAGCAACGAAGACCCATCGTAGCCAAAAAATAAATAAATTTATTAAAAAAAAAAAGTAGTAAAACAGACAGTATATTTGAAGGTAATAAGTGCCATAAGAAAAAATAGGGGTGATTGAGGTGGGTGTCAAATTGTAATTTTAAGTACTATTGTCAAGGCCTCAGTGAGAAAGTGACATTTCAGCAAAGACCTGAAGGAGGTGAGGGAGTTAGCTCTCTTGATATTTGGAAAAAGAGCATTTTAAGCACTGAAACAGCCCCCAGGTGCTAAGGCAGAAGAGTGGCTGGTGTACGGCAACGGAAGTAGGGGGAAGTTCTTAAGAAGCAATTGCAGTAATCTAGGTAAGAGATGAAAGTATTATACATCCAGCTCACTTGCAGTGGAGGTGGTAAGTAGTCAGTTTTTGGATATATTTTGAAGGTACAGCCAATAAAATTTCCTACGGGAATAGATGTGGGATGTGAGAGAAAGGAAGGTATTAAGAGTCATTCCAAGATTTCTAACCTCAGCAATTAAGATGGGAAAGACTGCAGGTGCAGATGTGAGGGGGAAAATCAGTTCAGTTTTGGACATATTGAGTTTGAGATGTCTATTAGACACCTCTGTATCACCTAGGATCCTCTTGGCCTCCTTGCCTGTAGGGTCTTCTACCACTTCTTTTGTCTTCATTGCCATGGCCAACCAACCTCAGGCAGTAACCACCCAATAGTGCTTTGCCTCATGCTCAGGCCACACATCTCACACAGGGGTCTGTTTGTGCCCACATGAAACGGAAGTATGTGTATGTTGCAGAGGAGGGTAGTGTTAGCATCCTCTGACTGAATCTTAACCTCCTGTCCTGACTCACTACTTTTCCCTACCCTCACTTCCCCAAGATTGTACTCCCTAATAAAATAAGAGCACAGAAGACTGCCTCAGATTCTGCTTTCTGGGAGAACCAAGGCTAAGACAACATCCAAGTGGAGGTGTGAGTAGGCAGTTGTTTAAATGAGTCTAAAGTTTGGGAGTGTGATTTAGGAAGATATAATTTTGAGGGTTGTCAGCATGGGCATTGTATTTACAACCATGACGCTAGATGAGGGCACAAAGGAGTGAACAAAAAACAGAAATGTCAGAAAGAGGAGAAGCTGAAGATTTTATGCTACTACCTTTGAGAGCAGAAACAATGTTTTATTTACTGCGATAGCCCCAGTTTTGTAGTACATAGCACAAAATAGGTGCTCAACAGGTATTTTTAGAATAAACAAAATAGGTCACCATGGCCTTGGGGTTAGGTAAAAAAACAAATTAAGTCCTGAGAGGTGATGAACTAGGATAGGCAGTGTTCATGGAACTTGAGTTCACAGTGAGGGTGAAAATTAGGTTCAACAGCGGAAGCCAGAGAGAAAAATAACAGGAAAAGGAAGCCGTGGTTAGAAAAAAGTTCTCAGATACCACTTTCTCCTTGAAGCCTTTTCTAATCATCTCTTGAGACCTTCCCCCTTTGCCATCTTATCTATCTTATACTATGTCAACTTACATCCATGTGTTCTTCCCTACTTTCATCTCCCCAATATTGACCCTGTTTTCCAATTGAAAAATTGAGTCAAAAGTGGGAGTAGCTTTCAAGTCCCAGAGATAAAAACGGATGCTAAAGTTTGACATTTCTAGTTCATTTCTATGGTTTATGGAGATGCCAGAGCACATATATGAAACTGGGAGACTACATTTCAAATCTGAAGTATATCCAAAGCATTTAGTAAAATAACTTGCACTTGAATGACTGGATGATTGAATGAGTGAATGAACAAAATTAGGTGAAAACAGAGGCCAGGAGAGCGTAAGTCAAGGAGAAAGTATGACTTAATAACTGAGGCCCACTGGTCTGAGAGTAGGGCACAATAGGAGAAGTGGGCCTGCAGTCCCACTAGCACCTAGGAAGCACCCAGGAAGTCAGCAAAGTAACTAAGGCATGAAGAGGTAGGCCCTAAATGAAGATCGGTGTGAACAGAAAGGAAGAATATACGGAAATTTTTAAATAAAAAATTACCGTATTTGGTGAGTGAGAAGCATTGGTTATGAGCAAATAATTCTAATATTTTGATATCACGTATAGGGCCAGGGTAAGAAGAGCAGGAAGATGATAAGCTCAATTTTGCAAATGTATTTGACACAAGGGTGAGATATACAAATAAAGCTAGTAATAGGCAACATTTAAATCGACACTTATTACATGTCACTGTGCCAAGTACACTTTCCATGAATGATCTCATTTAATTACCACAGTAACACTATGATATAGGTGCTATTATCATCTTCTCATTTCACAGATGGGAAAACTGAGGCGCAAGAATGAAAAATATGCCCAAGTCACACAGCTAGTAAGTGGCTGAACCAGGATTTGAACCCCAAAATATTAAGGATTTTTTCCCAGGACCATAGAGATATTCATTATTTGTTCAATATTTACTGAGCACTACTACATTCTAGACATTGTGCTGGGGATGGGAGGAGAGAAATTCTGGTGGTGAACAAGACAGACATGGTCCCTACCTGCACAGACCACACATGGACATTAAACAAATAATTACAAGTATGATGAATCAGAAAAGAATCTCAGGGGAAGGGAATAGCATGTATAAATTCCTTGAGGTGAGAGTTCACAGTAGGGAACAAGAGAAAAAAGCCTGGAAAAAATAAGAAGACTAACATGGCTGGAGTGCAGAGAGCTAGAGGGACTGCTGGGGAGGCTGGGAAGAAGACGAGCCCAGATAATGGAGGGCCTGGCCTTAATGACAAGGACTTAAGATTGTGTTCAGTAAGCAAAGGGAAGGACTGAAGGAATTCAAGCAGGGTAGTGACTTGATCAGATTCGTATTTGTTAAAATTTGCTCTGGCTGCAGTATGGCAAATGGATTGGAATGAGCCAAGAGCAGTTTTGTAGGACCTCGATGGTAGTTAGTGCAGAACTTCAAGCAAGAGATGAAGGTAGCTTAGACTAGAGTGGGATGAGAAGCCACAAATCCTATTTTTTTAAGGCAGGTCTAGGTGATTCTGATGTGTGTCGGAGGTGTCTTAGGTTTCTGAACTGAGTAGATGGACAGGCTGTACTTTACTGATCCGAGGTCTACGGGAAGAGGCTTTTGGAGGGAAGAGGTTGAGTTTGACGTCAAGTCATCCATATGAAAGTGTAGCACAGGCAGTTAGAAATATGAATCTAGAGTTCAAGAGCAAGATCTAGGCTTGAGTTTTGAGCTGGACAGTCTTTGGCAAAGGGTATCTGAAGCTACCGGAAAGAGGGTGAGACCACCTAGGAAAATGCACATGGTGGGACTCGAGAAGAGGATGAAGCTCAACAGGATTCCAATATTTAGCAGTTGGCTAAAAGAGAAGGTGGTTGTTAAAGAACAACCAGAAAGGTAAAAGAAAACAAGAGCAGAGGGCAGAGAATATTTGGATGAGGCTGTGGGCAATGGTGTAAAATGCCAGAATGAGGTCTTGTAAATGAGGCCTGAAGCTTGTCTGTGACAATTCAGAGCTGATTCAGGTGTGTGGTAAGAACAGAAGCTAGACTGGAGAGGGCTGAGGAGACTGGGACATGAACGTCCACGGGGTAAGAGACAATCGCGGTTGGAGAGGGATTTAAAGAGAAAAATGTTTTCCAAAAAATGAGAGACTTAAGGATGTTCAAATACCGGACAGAAACGCCGGTTGAGAAGGAAAGGTTGAAAATAACAGAAGGAAAGGGGGATATTCTTCAGCCCAAAGAGAAAGGACGAGGGGATCTACAAGGCCAGGCTAGGGAACTCTTTCTTTTTCAACAGTAAGTCAATAAGGGACGGAGCTCTGTTTTGGACCCTCTCGGCTTCCTAAAACATGTTTGCTTTAAGGGACTGAAAGTGAATTACAATAGACATGAAAGCCCGGGAGAGGACTGTAGAGTTCAATAAAAAAGATAATGGTAAAGTCGGTATCGTGTCTCGGGTGACCTCTGAAAGGGCAGTTTCAGCAGCTTCGAGGCAACGGAAGTCACACTGCGGGTTCACAGGGGGAGTGGGTGGTGAAGAAAAGGGTGCAGCCGCTGCAACCCTGTGCTGCAGAAAGCGGGCTGTGAAAAGAAACCGACACAGGATGGTGCAAAAAAAAAAAAAAAAAAAAAAAGGCGGGCAGGTGGAAGAGGAAGGTAAGACATTTCGAAAGTGTAGAAGAGCAACCTCGGATAGGGCAGGTCACGGCTCGGAGGCCCAAGATGTGCCCCCCAGGCGTGGCCGTCCTCGCTGTTGTACTGAACCCCGCCAAGGTGACCGGAGTCCCAGAGCCTCCGTCCCCCGAAACAGAACGGCCCCGCCGGCGGACGCCAGGTTTCTCAGCGGATTCTCGAAGCAGAGCCGCCCGGCCCGCCCAGAGGGGCGGAAGACCCTCCCCACAGGGGCCAAGGACGCCCCCGGGCCGCGCCGGCGCAGCGCCGCGGCCTACCGTCCCAGAGTCCAGCCCAGGCCCCAGGCCTCGGGGGCGGCCGCAGAGCCGCTGCAGGCCTTCCTCCCCAGCTCGCAGTACTCTCGCACTCAGGCGCGGCCCCGACCCAGTGGCGCGTCTCCCCCGTCCCGGCGGCGTTTGAAACTTCCCGGGGCTGGCGGCGCTCGGGGACCCAGACCCGGCACGCCGCAGCCGCCCTAGAGCCCGCCGCTTACCGCCGCAAGGGCAGCCCGCGCGGGGGTTTCCATCGAGCAGTCGACACCCCTCGGGAATTCCCCACCCCGCCACACACAAACCCTAACTCTTCCTGCAAATTTCCGCCGCCGATTTTATCCGTCGATAAGCGGCAGGTCGGGGGAGGGAGGAGGGGAGGAGGAGGGGGGGGCTTAGATCATTCCTCCCCACCCCTGGCCCCAGACCACCTCCGCCTTCCCTCTCCCCGCGGAAGCCCTCCGCCGTGCCCGAAGGAACTCGAAGGTCTTCGGCAAGTTCCGCCTCCAGCGCTGAGGGCGGGGCCGCTCGAGCTCCTCCGGGCCGAGCTCGGCTGTTTCCGTGCGCGGCCGCTGCGCACTCGGCACTGGGCGGCGCTGGCTGGCTCCCTGGCTGCGAGTCCTCAGTCGGCGGCGGCTGCTGCTGCCTGTGGCCCGGGCGGCTGGGAGAAGCGGAGTGTTGGTGAGTGACGCGGCGGAGGTGTAGTTTGACGCGGTGTGTTACGTGGGGGAGAGAATAAAACTCCAGCGAGATCCGGGCCGCGAACGAAAGCAGTGACGGAGGAGCTTGTACCACCGGTAAGAGGAGCAGGAGGAGGAGGCAGGAGCCGGAGAGAGCCGGGGGGACGGAGGGGGGACGGGGAGGCGCCGGACACCAGCGCTCGGGGCCTTCCTCTCGCAGGAGGGGCCGTGGTAAAGATGGAGCCTCCGCCCGAGCCCCACACCATCGCCGCCGCTCGCAGCGAACAAAGAATAATGGCGGCGGACTGGAGCCAGCGGCGGCCGGGGCGGCAGCGACTCTGCCTGCAGCCAGCGGCGGCGCTCATGGCGGGGGGCGGCGGGCGGGGTGGGAGCCGGCGGCCGGGGGTGTGTGCGGGCGGCCGGCCGCGGCGAGCTGGCGCCCGCGTTCCCGCCGCCGCCGGGCCGAGCGGGGCCCGGCGCGGAGCCGGGAGCCCAGAGCCCGAAGCCACCCCGGGAGAGGCCGCCCGCCGGCCTGGCCCTGCCGGGCGCTGCCCCCCGCTCCGCCCGCCCGGCCCCCGCCGCCCGCCTCGCCCCCGACCCGGCCCGCCGTCCGCCCGGGCAGCGCCGCCGGGGTGCCCGCGGGGGGTGGAGGAGGAAGAAGGCGACAGCTGAGGGCAGAGGAGGTGAAGGTGCCTGCCTTCCCGGTAGCCTCCTTGTCTGCATGCCCGCTTCGCGAGGGGAAGCGCTGCTCCGGCTGACCTACTCTCCTCTCCACTCTCTCTTTGTGCAATAAAGTTCGAAACCCAAGGTTTCCTTTCGTACTGTATTTTATTCACGCCCTTTTCCCCTGCTCCCACCCCATTGGAAAGATGTTTTCTGTGTTTTTCTGCTTACATGAAGGAATGAGAACTCAAGCTTTTTAAAATAATTTTTGACTCTTATCCTCACCCTCTTTTTTTTAAATCAGTAGTCATGGAAATGCATTCTTTCGGGGAGGAAGGGGGTGCTAAGAAAAACATATTGGTAGTAACTTTTTAAAAACTGTTGGGATCTTGTAAAAGGGAAGCTGATGTTTGAAAACAGTTTCGGTTTTAACCCTTTTCAATAAGGGAATAATCACTTGAGAGATTCTGAAACACTTCGTTGAAACAAATATTAGCCGATGTACTTTTGTTTTACATCACCTTTTTTGCGGGGGGGGGGCGGGCAGCCGTGGTGTTGGGTCTTCTGGATCTCCCCATGTACCCCCTGCCATGTTTGGCACATCTTTCTGTCTAAATGTAAACAAGAGATTGGTTAATACTAATTCTAAAAATAGGCATTTAAAAGTATCCATTATTAGTCTAGCATGCGGTAGGTAACCTCAGCCCCAGAGCGACAATAATTTAAGCCGCAAGGTTTATTTTTTCTTTCCCTGTTGGGGAAGAGGGACAGCAGAAAAATCATTGACACATCAAAGATTAAAAGACAATTTTTAAAGAACCTGGGATATGACCTATTTAAGTTTGTCTTGCCTTCTTCAGAAGTTAGAATTTCATGCTAGCCTTAGCTTGCAACAGTTTTGCCTTCTAAAGGTTTAGTTAGTATAAAAGATACTTTTGGTTGCCAGCTATTGAAATCTTTTACACTCATTTCCTGATTTAAAAAATAAAGCCAAAATGGTTATTTTAAGTGATGCAAAAGATGAACAGGTTATTTGCTTTTAAAATACTTACCTGTCTCAGGGTGTGATAGAATTGTGATTGATACAAGGTGTCTTGTTAGAAATAAATATTGTTAGTAGAAGCACTGTCTTCTGATTTTCTGTTTGCAAGTCACTTTTCCAAAACCTACTTTGCTGTATTGCAAGTCTTTAAAAAACCACCTTAGCAATTTGTCATTACCAAGAAACAATTAAGAAGATGTAATAAAGAGTTTTTCCATAAGAATTGGGAAGATGATTTTATTTCCAAACACTGAGGAAATTATGGTCTTGATGATACTATAGATTACTGGTTTTCCTTAAGGATTTTCTGCAAACCAGCGTAAGTTGAGTAGAATTTTTTTGCCTTACAGACTATATGACAATGACTCTTCCTTTGTTGAATTAGAAAAAAAAAGTTTTCTGATAGGTTTTTTCTTCAGTCTTATCCAAAAGATTTTTTAAAATTTTTATTTATAAATTCATAATCTAATTCTTTTAGTAATCTCAGGTGAAACTTTTTAAACTTTTATATTCATTAATATTTGAATATTCATTTAGAGCTTGTCACTAAATTATACTTCTGCTCCCTCCCAGGGATCAGCAGAAATTACAGTTAAATCTGCTTGAACCTTTTTTTTAATGGACATGTATTCAGAAAGCCAATGAGTCTTTGACACAAATTGAAGAATATTAAAAGGACACTTTTTATGGAATTTAAGACTTCAGTGTTACACTTTTCGAATGATTTTTTTTTCCACATAAGAGCCTAAGGAAACTTAGAAACCTGATTCATAAAATGGCACCTTCCTTTTTCTGCTTTCTGAAATTCATTTTCATGATTAGATCTGATTAATAGACTTTTTGTTTCTTCATAGAGAAGTAGCTTTATTTTGTTTTTCATTCTAAGACATTGGGTTTTGTTTTGGGGGGTATAATATTGTTGCAGTAAAACCAAGTATATATTTCCCACTTCACCTCATTTTTAAAATCTTTTTCCTTTTTTTACACAGTAGAAAAAAATTATGCTTACAATGTATCACTGAAATTTATAATTTCAGTATCTTATCAGGAATGGTTATGTAGACTTGTTTATAGCCAGCCTGTGACATAATCTTGTAAGCATATCTTTCTTCATGTTACAGTGTCACCTCCAGTGATGGCTTCTTTATTGAATAGTTAGAGCTCAAATCTGAATTTAAGGATATAGGGAATGGAAAAAATGAAAAGATTGGTTTTTTTCTTACTCATGTATGAACTCATCTCTACATTATCACTTGAGACACAATTTGTGGTACTTATTTAGCATTTACTGTGACAGAGAATGTAGTTAATGGAAAGAGCATGGGGTTTGGGAATCACGTGCCAGTTTGAATCCTCCTTTTGCCACTACTATCATGTGCCTACCCTCAAGGAATTTTGTGACCTACAAGAAGTTTCTTGATCTTCCTCAGCCTTAGTTTCCTTATCTGATAAAGCTACTTTATAGCATTGTGAGATAATTATAAAGTACTTCCTTAAGGATTCAATTAATGACAGCTATTTATTTTTAAGGTTTATTTTAACTTCCTAGCTTGGAACCTTGGGCAAGTTTCTTCTCCATACCTCAATTTCCTTGGTCATAAGTGTACAATATCTAGCTCATACAAATGTGGGAATTAAATAAGTTAATGCATATTAAACATGAGGCATGTCACAAGTGTTCGACAAGTGTTTCCTATTATGTTTTAAATTATTCATCATAATTGTTACTGTGTTTTAATACACTGGGCCAGAAGCTGCAGCGAATCCAAAGATGAATTACATTGTCATATCTCTATCCTCAAGGAACTTTTGGGGACATGATGACTAATAATGCAGAGTATATGTCATCAGAAAGCAGTCAAAGGAAAGAGATCACACCTGAAGATGGAAGAAAGGATTATATTTTGTATTTCCAGTTTTATTTTTTTAATAAATAATTCATTCAGATAGTCCGTAATTCAAAACACATAGGATGTAATACAGCAGGGAGTCATGTGTTTTGCCCTCCAGTCACCCAAGTGTCACCAATTTCTTGTTTGTCCTTTCAGAGGTGTTCTGTCCATACACAATCAAATATGTATGTACTCTCCTCCCCGCACATCCCTTTTGTACAAATGATAGTATACTATGTACACTCATATATCTTGCTATTTTCACTTAACATGGTTTAGCAGTTGGTTTGTGTCAGGACATAAAGAGCTTCATTCTTTTAATTATGAGGCACCTCATCATCTGGATATACCTGTGTTTGTTAACCGGTTGGTGAGCTGATTTTGTTTTTAGCTCTTTTGCGACCTTTTAAAGTAAGGAATGCTGTCAGTATGCCTTTATTTCTTTAAATGAAAGATTTCGTTTGAATGAGAGATGCCAATTTGGAAATTATTTGAACTGCCTTAATTACCTTTTTAGTTTCAGGGTTTTTTTTTAAGTTTTATTAAAATGATCGCGATGTACATGAAGAGGAAAGCAAGCTGTAGAAGATTTAAGTCTCAAAGTGAATTTAATCTGAATTTAACTCTTTTGTTGTGGTTCTTATAGCCCTGAACAAACTACTTCCTTCTGTTATTTCAACCAAAAATAGTCTATAGTTTTCTCTCTGAATGAGAAAGAACATCTCATGTAGTCCAAACCTTTGATTAAACAGACTATTCTCATGGACTGTTACTACCCAGTAATCCTGATTAGTGTACTAGCTTTCTCCCTGAGTTAATTTTTTATATACTCATTAACTTATTTTTTGATGATTTTCTAATGTTTCTTAGTGTCATTATCAGTGAGTTTTATATTTGATATCTAAATAAATGGTGAGTTTCTTCTATATGATTGTCTACTGAGACTTTACTGCTGAGATAATTTTTTTTTTCTTTTTTTTTTTACTGTGAAAGTCCTCGGTCAACCAGTTGACCCAAGTACTACTCATTTCAACTAGAAAACAAAACAAGTTTCAGTACCTCTCTGTTTTGGACCTTCTAAGCAGCATTTAACTATAGTTCATTTTAAATATACATGCTGTTAGTGTATTTATCTTTAAAA